ATATATATATATATATATATATGTATATATATGCACATGTTTTCCAGCGGAGGAGCATTTGACTACCATCAAATGCATTGAATTTTTTTATATGGAAACAAAGTGGGGCGAAGAATAGAACGCTGCGATGCCCTTCTCGAAAATTTGTTTTTGGTACTGCTGCCTCCATTGCAACTATTTCCAAATAACCATTTACTCTCTATAAAAGGCTGCTGTTTTCTTTATTCATTTTTTCAGCTTGAATAAATCAATATAAATTATGGAGTCATCCTTGAAAAATCAATAATCATAATTAATGTTGACCTGTTGCTACTTCTATTGCAGGTTATGCTTATAATCGCGTTTACATTGTCACTTGTATCCTTCTCGATTAAGTCGTTCTTAATTTATATTTTTTCTGCAAGGACTATCTCAATCACCCTTTTTGTCGAAAATTAATTCCATTTGTTGTGCGAAGTTAACTCCTTAAAGTTAGCAAGCGTTTTTCCACTTGTAATTAAGTGAGTCTAAAGAATTTAGTAAATATTCCTGAGTAGAGTATTATTCACACATCGTAAAGCCGGCATGTGATTTTACATAAAAATGCATGAAGTATAAAAATGAAATTGAAATATAGTAAGATTCGTTGCTTTCCTGTGTTAATCTAGTTATCAGTCTTTTGGGTAATAAGTCACTTTTACCAAAAATAAATTACCGAACTATTTTAAATTTTTTCCAGGACTCTTGTGAATAGTTTTTTTTTCTTTTTTAACTTTTCGTTACTTTTCTTAATACAACAATGAAGAAGGTTATTAAGTAAACAGGTTATGAATGCAGATATAAGTTAATAGATGTATTTATGTTATTCTTCTGTAAGTGATTATCGTGTATTAGTTTTGTTTTTGAATCTGAATTTAAAAATTCGAGAAATATGGGTTTTCAAAGGAACACAATTCTACGAATAATAACAATTTCAATATTATTCAAAGAAAGATAGTTTCAAAGATTCTTCAAAGAAAGACAATTCTAATATTGTAATAGATATAGGTCTTGCTTTTTAGGTAACGTCGGCAGAGAAAAAAGAAAGTTTTTTAAAGATCAAACAAATTTTGAGATTATTCGAAGTGGAATCAAATTTCAGAAATGACAATTGCTGTTCCAGAAAAATATCGGATTTAATAAATGTAGGAAGTGGATTTGGATGTCATTAAATTTCTATTTACTTTTCGATATCTTTCGTAATTGAATTGCAACTTGCATTTTGTTTCAGGTCGTACTTAACGCCAGTAGCACTACGATATAATATTTTATCTTCTTGTAAAGAAGCTGGAGCTAGCAGCAAACACGATATTGGAAGTACCAGCGATATCAATAGTGATAGTAGCAGTGTGAGACTCAGTACAGTTCCAGCAAAACAACATTATCACAACAACACGACATCAATTTCCATCCCCTACGACATCAGCCATTCAAAACAATCCTCGGCAGTTGTATTGCAGAATGTTCAAAAGGTATTACAATTTTCAGTTAAGGTTACGGGTATGACATTGTGTATTATGTGTTAAATTTATCGCAAAAACGGAATATACATGTTTTTTTTCTTAGGGAAAAAAATTCCAATTACTTAGATTAACACTTATAAATGCTTTGCACCATTAACACCTGCACCTATACACGCAGAAAACTTTTTCGACTGACGGATTATGTCGAAATATTCAATGATAAATGAGAATCCTCAACTGGAAAACTTAATGCTATTTCCATTATTTGGAATACCCTCAGAAAAATTGAGTTTCCGACTGTAGTTTAGAACGCTTTTGGCTTCTCAAGAGCAGTACAATTTGGCCATTTGTGGAACTCTGAGATATTGTAAGATTACAAAAGAGGCAGTATGGTGGCCATTTCCATCAAAAATAACCAATTAATGACTAAGCATAGAATTGTTTGAACGATTACAATGATTAACTCCAATTCTTCAATTTGTCTTTCAAATGGATTAAAATAGGGAAGCGAAATTTACTATTTGGGATTTCTTCTTCGAACTGAGATAGTGCTTTATCTGATAAATGTTATGGGAATATTCATTTGTTTTTTTAGTTCTTTCAGAAAACTGATAAAGTAGTGGTCGGAGCGGTGGCATTTAAACAAAAGAATCTCATCAAAGGATCTCATTCGGTCGTGATGACACAGCCAACCGACTGCTCTCAAAGCGCCTGCCTCTCTCAAAGTATGCATTCTTTTCGTTTCCTTTTTCTTAAATTGGCATATATAAATATAAATATATTTTTTTTCCTAATAATTCGTTTCGTTGCTTCCTTTTTAACAATACTTTTCTGCTAATTATCGTGCTCTTACTGTAACCGCAAAGTTTTTAGTAAGCTTCAGGAAGGGCTTAGATGAAAAAAGAATCTAAACGTAATTTTTTTCACGGAGTAGTGGTGAATGAAATAAAGAATGGAATAAACTGAATAGGAATGAAATATTTAAATAAGAAAAAAGATCAACTGAATGCATTTTATGAGAAATATCATGAAATATACATATCCAAATAAACAATAATCCGTCAGATAAAAATGTGAATAATTAAGCAGTCAAGAGGGACAAAAGTAGGTAAGTAGAATAGTCATAATAAGAGTGTTACTAGTTTGGTTTTATTTTTACACAGTCCAGTCAATCAGAACCTGTTTGAAAGTTATATAGAGGGTGAACTGTGCATGGTTTTGGACTTATTTCCGTGAGATTTTCAAAAGAACTGAAAACCACTGATCAGTATACATAAATTCTCAAAATGCCTTCTATTAACAAAAAAAACGCTGAACAGCCGTTATGTTCGAGTGCAGAGAAAAGGAGAAAGGTAACAATTTGAAATGGCAGGCGGCAAGGGGAAGAGAATTTGAAATTTGAAAAGGAAATATTGTGGATTGTGCAGAATAAATTCTAACAACTTCCAACATTCCTTGCATAAATTTCATTTGTTTTTATCATCTTTATTAATAATCATTAAGAAGCTGAATAGGATGTCCCCTGTTAGGATATTTTTTCCCACCTTTCAACAGCAGAGAAGCTGGGAACCTTTTTGCAATTTCAGCTCCGTTTTTATTTCTAAATTTTCATTGATTTAGTTCAAAAAATTCCAGCAGAAGAAAAATGAACTAGCGAACCCTGTGATTAGTATTGGATTTCTGTTATTTCTTCGCCTGCAAATCCTTTTTAACGAATGCATTACTCCAGCTGCTTAGAAAAATTACGAAAAATAATTGAATGAAACTAATAAGCAACTGACTGTTTGCTAAAGTGATTCATCTGTAAATAATCCTGAATCCTTGAAGCAAAGAGCATAGACAAAGACTTGAAATTTTTCTCTAATGTCAGTTTTTATGTTCAGTTATAAAATTTTTTCTGTGTAGGAAGTTCTTTTCAGTGTTATGCGTTAACTTCGTACGTTTTGCGGGTAGTAAATTGATAAGCACGAGTTAGATGAAATGGTCATTGTGATTTATTTCTTGAACTCTCTGCTGAAACTTTTGTAGTTTTAAGTGAGAGTTTTACTTTGTTGAAAAATCCTGCATCCCTTATCATCTTACACTTCTATTATGCTGGCTTTCTTCCTTTGTAGATTTTCTACCTCCAATTCATGAAACACTAACGTCATTTCGTCAATCTTCATCTTTACTGAATGACACGACAATCCCTGGAAGCTATCGCCATCGTCCTCAGAATCAGATGACATCAGCGGATGTGGAACAATCTTCTGATAGTTTCGAACGAAATCAGAACCACACTGCACAACCATCTGTTACACCAAAAAATACGACTGTCATGCAGGATATTTGTTCCGGTGGTGGTAATCATGCTATCGATAACAATACAATATATACACAACAACAGATTACAGCGATGATATCGGATGCTAACTGTATGTACAATCAACAGCAACAGCTTGCTGCAACAGAACGATCGGAGACTATGAGTGCATATCATCAAGGTTCACATATTGTTTTTTACGTAATAAATATCATTCATATATCTGTGGTCTTTTCTGTACGGCATGCACGTGTTTGCCTACATGTACTGTCATTTTAACTTATTATCGGGAGACTACATTGTCAGATTACTGCGAATTTTATCTGGGATATAAGCAACATCAGTATATGGTTAAGGCAGCGTATTTTTTGAAAAGTCTATATTTTTATTTAAAATTGCTTGCCCATCTTCCACTAAAACTTAGTGTTGAAAGATGAATAGCCTGTTGTTTGGAAGGCAGTAGGGAAACTGGCATCAACACACAGTTATTCCTTCAAATTTTGCGGAAAGTCATTTGATCTGTTAACATCGGTTTTCTTTGGATATTTACTATCACATTTTTCATTTCTCTATTAATATCAACTAATGGTTGATGGTGATGAAGTGGTTTGAGATGATAAGCCTCAGTTCTTTGTATTTCCTACCTTACGATGTATACTGATTTAAACTGCCACCACTCTGTAGAAAAAAAAAGTGTATGTAAAAAAAAAAAACTGAAAATTGCTTTGTAAAGTAAATCTTGATTCTAAACTTATCAATAAATAATGCGCTCCAATCCGTTATATGTATAAGATGTATCGCAATTGCATTGCAGACTTAACAACGGAACTGATGCCAGCGACCACCGTTGCTAATGATCATTCCGATGAACAGCATTACTATACGGTAGCGATGGCGGGGTCGCGTAACCAGCAACATTTTATACATAATGATTACACGCCATCCGGTCTTTGTAAGTTCTAATTTAGAGAATCTTTCGAAAATTTTGCAGATAAATCGAACTGAGTGAATAGAATAGGGGAAAAATTGTAGAATTTGGTTATTCAGTCGTCTCGTCGCTCAGGGTTGTGTTACCAATAACGCTTGTAGTACAAAAGGACATAATTATAAAGTTATGGTCAGGGAGAAAGACCGCACTTTGTATTAATTTTGCTTCACTTGTTTAAGGGTAAAATTATAACGTTTTGTCTTAATGGATAATGTTAGGAAATGGAACTGTTCTGCAATAGTTACTACAACTGAAGTTATAGTAACTACACGTTTATCAGTTTTGTATTCCATAAACTGAAACATGCTTTTAAAAAGATGTTTTAATATGCAGTGGTGGCTTTTTCAAAGTGTGCACATTAATGACATAGCTTATTTGATTTCGTATATATATATATATTCATATATATTTGTATTTGTAAATATTCGATATATCTTCAAAATTCAATTTTGCGGAAAACTGTGATAGGATTATTCTTGTATAGCTGGTATTACTAACTGTTTGATGAGAAACGTCATATGATGTTTCTGAATTTTATTAGACATCACAAACTATGAATATTAAATATATGTATAAATTACCTACTTGTACAAGTTTTACTGTTTCCAATACATAGCTGTCTTGTTGTTACCGGTCAGCTAGTGTGTTACAAAAAATACTATATTTGAGCATATTCTCTGTGTTGACAGTAGTTTAGTAAATTCACGGATAAATGATTCGAGCAGTGAACCCTGGACCTTGAAATTAGGTCCTTCCAAGGATTAGTCACAATTATGTTTTTGAATTCAACCATTTAGAGTGATACGAAGTTTTCATTGTAATGCATTTTTAACGGATTTTCACTTTATGTTACTATGCATTTCAGTGCTGAATATGCGGGAATGATGTTTGGCCTTTTAAATAGATATTACCGGATATATGTAGCGATCGTGAATTAATGTCGTATTAGTAGTTATAATAAGAGTAAATAAATGGGTAGCAGTTGGAGTGAATAACCGCTGAGATGATAAATTCATCACCATGGTGATAAGCAACGCAGTGGTCGTTAATTTGCGTTCGTATTAGTTATCATTTCCTGAATTAATTCGCAGTTTTCCGGTTATTTCTCCACCGCCATTAAGATTTCTGAATACTTCAATGCCTGAGTGAAAATTGCATGTGTTCAAAGAAAGTGCTTCATATCTTTCTATGTCTCATAATATTATCCTCTTCACCATTCAATATCGCCACCGTAAAGTGTTTTGTCGAATATAGCAAAAGTAGAATTGTGGGAGTAGCAATTGATTGTAACATGTAAGAGACATAATTTTCGATTGCAGTAACCTATAACGAAATATCATTTGTTGTCGATACTTCGAAATAATATTAGGAATGTTTTTAATGAACGGAGGAAAAGTTACAGGAGGTTGTACTGGAGAAGGGAGCAACATGAGTTGGCTGGATCCTTTTGGTGGATTTCCTTTATCCTTTTGGTGGATTTCCTTTAGAAAACGAAGCATATTAATCCAGTGTCTTGAGCTGAATTTCTAAGCTTTTGAGAGCGTTATCATACCTTACCATCTCCTTCATATAACTTCTGGATTTTTGAAACTGTTTAATTTTTCCCAAAAGCTGGATAACAAATCTTTGTTATATGGAATAATCATGACGTATTTTCCTTTTTGTCCTCACTGCTGTCGATTTGTAAGATTTATGTTAATTTGTGCATTATTTCAGCTCAGCAACAACAAATGCTGATGAATGCACGAAATGCAACAATAGCTGAAAAGTTGCCTAGATTACAGGAACGGACCTGTCAATTTATCAGTGTTACTGGAACTGATCATAATGGTAGGACAGGTTAATCGTTCTGAAATCGATTTAGATTAAATTTTATGATATCCGACTGTTTTGGCTTTATGTTTAAATATTAAATTTGATGTTATCGAAAGATTATATTAACATACTGTCTGTGCAGAGCTGGTAACAAATACACTTGATTTGAATGAGTATTTGCGTCCCCCACTTCACTGCATATAAGTGATATAGGTATCTTGATTTCGATAACTCAATTTACTGAATTATCTAAGCAATGAAGTCAGTAATCAATTGCAGAATCATATGTGGTAGTGAATCAACAGTCTGCTGGTACTCGTGATTATCTGGATAGTAGTTTTAGCAGTGGTGGGGGCAGCATCGACAGTATGGTACCATGTTCGAAGGTTACAAATTCATTGGTAGCAAATGCAAAACAGCATGAGCCACAGCGTGTAACCTGTGTGTTCAATAATGGTAGTACTAATGGAATGAACAGAGATATTGATGCGAATGGAACAAAATTGCAGCGGTTATATACCAGCTCACGAAATGTCACCTTACAAGGTCTGCAACTTGCCAGATTTATCCATTCTCTTAGTTAAGTACTACTGCCACTTAGGTCGATGGCCTTTTGAGGAGACCTCACTGGACTGTATTGTAGTGAAGTAATCTTCGCAGACGTGTATTCTGTACTTAATTTTCATTGAACTTTAGCGTATATTTTGTTTCTGAAACGTTTGACGAGTCTTAGTTTATTCGTTTTTTGCACTGGGAATTTGACAGGTGTGCCCTATGAAGTTTTGTCTTGAGTCATGGATTTTAGAAAATAAAGGACCTTTATTCTTCAGTAACCAGTAGAATTAAAAGCTACACACTGAAAACTATCTTGCTGTCCTCAATTTTTTTTTTTGTTAATTTGGAATTCTCTTTAGTTTCTTCTTTACACCTTTTTTTATCATTTACCGTCCGGTCAGTCTCTGCGTTCAGTATTCAAATTCTTTAACTAGTTTTTTTTATCGCAATCTTCTGTGAGACATCAGCCCTCAAGAAGCGTCAAAAAGTTTCGTCTTCTTTTTTATTGCATTTCTTGAAGAAAGAATTCGAATGAAAGGACTATTTCGTGGTGTCCTGTTCATTAGTTTAAGGATCCATTTTTTTTAATTTTCGAATTTTTTTAAAATTTCAATTTTTTAAAATTTTCCTAAATTGGAAGCGGACTTCATTTGTTTGAAACGGCTAATTCATTTGGTCGAAATTTATATTGTATTTTAACTGATGGTATAATTTTGCATATTTGCTCATATCATTTCACTCTGTTTTATTGGTGATTTGATTTCGTTCATTTCGCTGCATTTGATGAAAATAAGGCTTTCCAATGCTTCAGGACATCCGTTATACAATATAAAATTAAATTTAGATTTAACTTCTAAAAATGTACCATTCATCATTAAATGATAACCCCACACGTCGCTGATAATAACGTGCATATAATTATGTATTAATTGAAACGGTGATGGTATTCTTTAAGAAAACTTGTCATTAAGTGGTGAATTATTGAGCTTTTAAAACAATGCGAAAAAAACCATTCATGTGTAAATAAATGAGTTACGGAAAGTGCAGATATCAAAGCTTGGAGGCGAGCAGACATGGTATAGACACTATGGGATAATATATTAAAATGGGATAGCTGTATAAGAGAAGTAAGACATTTCCCAGCCTTTTTCTTTGTACGTGTTCATATATTTCCCAAAGGAATCGCATTTTATTTGTGAAATTTTTGGGGAATTTTATATGACAGCTGAAATTTTTATTTTATGCTGAATGTATTTGTTTTAATGCATCATGTAACTGTATTATATTATGTTGAGAACTTTCAATATTACTTGTTGAGATAGTTCATTCTTTATTCCCATAGTGACATATATACAGCGAACATATCTTCATATGTGTTAAGACCACTCTTATTACTCTATGTACCCCCATTAAACATTATACATTAATACAGCTAAGCTTAGTAATTAGAAATAAATTAATACTAAGTTGACCGCGGTATGTACATCATATTGGTTCTTATATGTTTTTGTGTATAATTCAATAACTTATAATCACATGATAAGGGTAAAACCCTTTTGTAAAGTTAGGTTTTAAGACGACAAGTGAGAAGTTACTAAATTATTAGTGTTTGACAATAATTTTCCATGCATTCTGTACAACTAATGAAGTATAGTAATCAAGCAGAAATTCATACCATTATCTGTTTCCCAGGATTTGAATCGGCTTTAACGCTTTAATTATGCTTTATTAATCTCTTCTTAGTTGCTAGTGGGTTTTAATTTTTTCTTTATTAATTTATTAAACTTAGACTTTATTTTGTTATTAATTTGGAGTTTTCATTTGCTATATCTTCGCTCTCTTCTCCTTTCCCCCGTTTTTTACTTTTTTTTATCGCATAAAAAAAGTGTAAGGAATAGATGAGAGATGAAAAGGAAGTATGGAGAAAAGAGCGCAAGTTGTAACATGGAGTAGTGGCGCCTAAATTCCTGAGAGCCTGTAATTCCGGAAATTCGATAAGTTAGAAATCGTGAAAGAAATACATCATCCTTCACTTTCTATTCTGAAACTCTTCAATTTGACAAGATAGTTAAATTTGAAATTTGAATAATTAAAAATGATGAGTTTTGCTTCTCATGCGTCTTTCATACATCTCATATTTATGCCACTTTAGCTGAATGAATCTTTGGTGCATTCTTCCATCATGATTCCCTTTCTTAGGTTTAATTAGTTTTTTGTTTGAATCTTAGCTCGAATTAAAGTGTGTGATAGTGAATCGAAACATAGGAGATGAACGCATAACCATGCAAATTGATATATATAGCTTTGGGTATGAACAGGCTTGTCTACTCTTCTATTTGGTTCTGTTGTGTACTTGTTTTTATACATTAATTTTTTAAAATATCCTGCCATTCGAAAGGGAAATGCAGTCTTTTCAGATACGTTTTTCTGAATTTTTAAGGATTTGTTTTCACTTTGAAAACAAACAAACGGAAGTTATCCAGTATTTTTCATGAAATTATGCAATGTTTTTAGGTATATTAGGGGCAAGTGATTCGGTAATAACGGATCAGCGAACTTATTTGCTTGGTAATACCATTAATAGTAGAAGCAGTAGCAATGGCAGCGGAAGACAAATAGATACAATGAATATGTCAAAAAATTATGGTGCCTGCTCAGGAAATAGCTACCAATCGCAGCAGCATTATGTTCCTGTGCGGTCATCATTCAGGTGAGTGCATGTTTTAGCTCGCCTTAAATATTTCTTCTCACTGCCACAGCCATTACTACAGTGCGGGGTGGGTAATCTCGAGAACTGTTTTCTCAGAAGCATCGAGCAATCGAAAAATTAATGCCTTGATAAAGTCACTGTTACTTGTTTTCTACAAAGATGAGACCATTTCGGTCCTATTTTTACCAGTTATCAAATGTTGTGGTTCGACGGTAAAAGTTGCGTTGCTTTTTTACACGTAACGCTTTATCTATTGTTGTTGCATTCCTAACTCCCTTTTATATACTTCTTTCAATAATAAATTGAGGGGATGTTATAACTTGTGACAGCACTTTAATTAGTGTGTTGTATACTTGTAAGGTGGTAACATACTAAAGTCTTTTATGTACAGAACGGGTAAGCCGTAGCATCCACAAGTTCAGAAGATGGAGAAGGCGTAATGCAAAGGAAAAAAAAGAAATTTTGTGAAAACGATTTTTTTTTCGAGCTCCCCGGTTTCTCTTTCGTTGTTTAAATGTTTTTATAAAGTACAACACTGTAGGATGTCCTTTCCTCTCCTTTTCTTTCTCCATTCGACATAACAATATTGTTTACATTTCGATTTATATTTTTAAACTGATATCCTTTCCTTGTTTAGCTTTCAGTTCTTCTTAAATTTTTGTCCTTACTTGTTCAGTGAAATTACTGGTCTTCATTACCTCGATAATTTACCATAGCTTGAATATTTCAATACTAATTAGTTTTAAGATGATTCAAAGACTGGCTTTCAAACAAGCAGATTTTTTTTCTTTTCTTTTTTTTTTTAAATCAGTCACTGAATTGACGAAAAAAAGAAGAGGGTACATGCTCTAGTAGTTCATTTTTTATCTAAAACCTGAGAAGTTAATATCTTTACGACAAAGCAGGAATAGTCAAAACTGCAATTTACATAGAACAAAACAAATTTTAGAAATTTAAAGAAGAAAGAAAACTCCTTTGCAGTGTAATTTTTGTTCGTGAAAGTACGGTATATTTTGTCTTCTAGATCGCCAAGTACAACTGAACGAAAGTCAAATCGTTCATCGTCCAAAAAGGAACCAATGGATCCAAAGAATGTTGAAGAAGAAGTGGCTAGGTATGGTCTTCCAGTCTTTAATTTTATTGTTTTTTACAAATTAAATATGTTAAGGTTTTTATTGCTTGAGTGGTAATTTATCAAAATTATCCCACAGAATTGTTTTTTCTTTTCCGTCACAGTCATGGGATCCCAAATAGCGATGTGAGAAATATCACAAAAATTCCTTACATTCAAGAAATAAACTTCTTCCAGAAATGTTTCACAGATTCTGAGTGCATCACTGAATCAGAAATCACTATCATCAGGTTTGTTATCCGTTCTTCAGAAACCTCACTTAGATAATTCGTCAGCAAGTATTTATTCTGTTCGGGTGGTTCACTATTCGGATTTTGTCAGTTAATCTTCCTGCAGTGTATCGGGATCCATTGAAACAAATGTGATTCTTAGCTTTCTGGTGCTATCAAATTAGGAATGAAAATTTTAAACTTGTACATACTTAACATTACTTGAAATTGTGCTGAACCTAAAACGGCTGTTGTGAAGTTTGAAAATTAAACGAGAAAAGATAAAGCTTAAGAAGTGGCTACCAACTTCGAAATGTTAGAAAATTAAAAAAATGAAAGTGAGAGGAAGGATGAGAACAAGGACTGAGGGAAAATATCATTCAAGTAAAATCAACATAGTTTGTTTATTTTGTTTATCTGTTTTTTTCTGGTTAGGTGTATACGTAATCTTTTTTAATTTTTTTCACTATGTACATGTTCCATTTCGTGATTGCACTGCATATTCCTCTGAGATTGCTTCTTGTTTATTTACAAGAATATGATTTATTAGTTAAATAGTTCCTACATATATATTTTTTTTCATTAAAAGTTCGTGCAATATTTTCATGAGAACATATTTTATTTTTTATTAGAATTGCAACTTCAGGTTTCACGTCAACAACAGGAGCATCGGGTGCAAATGGGCAATCGTCCATCAGCACTACTGGTGCTTCAGTCACTTCGACAACAACAGCTAAGAAATCATTTACTTGCGTTGATTGTCATAAAACTGTAAGCACTTCTCGCAATTTACAACGTCATCGAATGTCCTGTAAATTAGCTCAGGCGTCATCAAACCCTGGGAAATCGCTGACAACTGCCGCTGGACAGCTTCAAGCAACCGTTATCACCATGCCTCTAAACTCCGCACAAGTTGGTTTCTTAATTTTTGTAAGCGATGACTTGACTAACGGAGTTTGAAGCGTGAGTCACAAGACATTCATGAAATATGTAGTAATAAGCCGATAGAATAGGTGAAATGATATATTTAATTTATTTAATATATCTAGCGTTTTAAGGTAATAGTGATTTATAATGATACCATCCTAACGGGTGCAATAGCCGAGGATGTTAATAATATTTACTATGGGAGATTGAATTTTTAAGGCTAAATTCAAAATAGATTCAACTAATTTAATATAAACATTCATGTTTGGCATTTTGCGGATTTTTTTTAGTAATTATATCTGTTTTCGTAATACTCCATTTTAAGATTAATGGATTATCAAGCGCGTATTCGGCTGATCAAAGAAGTATGAACAGTGCAACTGCGAATTCGATCTCAACGACGAACGTTGTTTCTGTGTCTTGTAATAATAATTTAATTACATCACTTGCTGATACTGATAATGTATCATCAGTGAACAATCTACGAACTACACAGATTTATAGCACTCCGTCGGAGATGATTGCTTCTGATGAAAGGTTTTGTTTTGCATATTTCTTAATTTCAGTTTCTACTATCTGGACCAGCACATTGTGAAGGAAAAATCGTTCCTTTCGAAAATTCTGTAGAGTGTTGAGGGAGATCTTTATTTCTATTCTTTTTATTTCCATCTTCACAGTGAGAGTGGTTAACGAGAGTAATTTTTAAAATATTTTGAAATAGGCTTTGTTGGTTGAAATAAAATATAGTCTGATTAATGCTAAGGCCCACTGACGTTGATTTAACATACACTGATCTTTTTTATGATCCAGATTCCTTATCAAAAAGAAAAATATTTAGGTTGAGACCTGTCTGCGAAGAATCATACCTGGATAAAGCAGTAGCAGAGATGACACGAAATGGTGATTTGAATACAGCAACTGCTGGAAGGTACACTCTTTTCATGTTGTTTAAATTATCTGTGATGCATTAATTATTGTTATTTTAAACAATGTTCAAAATGAAGTTAACCTTACACCACAGAATAAAAATGAATTCTAATAACATTAATTGTGAGGTGGCTAATCTAGATTATGCGATTAGCGAAATTATTTTTTGTTTCGATGTTGCCGTACTTTATTAGCAGTAAACTGTCAAATAAATTAGTTGCGAACAGTAAAAAATCCTACCTTGAAAATCGTGATGATGGATGGTCTTGCAAACATATCTTTTTGGTAAATTCTATTTTGTTTGAATTATTCTTTTCGAAAACTCTGTGAAATGTTATACTCCTTCTGCTTGGAAGCGTTAAAAATGCTTGAACTTTTGACTTGGAATAATTAAAGGGAGGAATTTATTTGTTCGTTGTCGAAGTGGTAGCGATTAGCGGCGATAGGTAGAACCCAAGCTTTTAAAATAGGACAAAAAGTTAAGGGCAAATATCAGTCACTGGAGGAAAGCGATGTTAACGTCTTCTGTCTTCCGATGATTTCGGGTAGCACGATGATTTTTTTCATTTTGTGAATTCTTTTGCTCTTTTGCTTGGATAAATTGTTGGAAAAAATCGTTCCATTCTTGCGATCTTGAGAAAATTTACATTTTTCCAAAAGGTTTTTTATGATTTTAAATTCTTAGTGTGGTTTAATTATTTCGCCTTCCTGTTAAGGTTCGGGATTTCAGTCTAAAAAAGTCTCGAGATTTCAAAAATGGAATCATTTCTTGAGAAGAAGAAAAAGACTGTAGAAGGTGGTATTATGTTGTTTTGTTATGCTATGTGAACACATTTTTTTGGAAAAACGGTTTTCCAGAAACTATGCGCTCAAATTCCTAACAAATTTCCTGGAGAATTTTGATATAGCCGGTTAGGTTTCCAAATCAGTAAAAGGGAGATGGGAAATTAAATTATGCTTCTGCACCTATTCTTGTTCATGCGTTTTGGAGAATAGCTATAATCTGAGTTCTTTTTCTTTTTAATTTGATTTCATTTTGCCGTGTCATAGGAACACATTTTAGATTGGCTTCAAGCTTGTTAGATGAAGACGACCATAGTTTTTCAACGATATCCTTGCCAGCCGCTACAACCGCAGTGGATAATTCTCATCCGTTTCAGTCGCCTGTTCAAATGAACAATGAACCAGTTAATCATCCTACTTTTACCCAACAGTCAGCGCAAATCAAAAGACCAGTACGTCTTTTTTTTAAAAGGTTTTCGTGAGACTGTTCATTAATGCAGGAATAACCAATGAAAGGCTGTTCATTAGTGCAGGAATAACCAATGAAAGGCTGTTCATTAGTGCAGTAATAACCAATGAAATAAATGGGATCTTTCCATATCATTGAAGTGAAGATACAAATGGTCATGAATACTGATAAAGCGATTCTTTTTTGTTTTTGAAAAAAAAGTGCAGCTTTTATCTCAGGGCACTTCAACGCAATTGTACCGATGCGAATCATGCAACAAAACGGTTAGTTCAAGCAGAAGTTTAAAGAGACATCGGAGCACCTGTAAACAGTACCAACTTGAATATGGACAGCTGAGAAAAAAAGCAGCTGATAATATGAGTCCTACAACAGATTCTAGAAGGTTAGTCTATTGCACTGGAAGAAATAAAACCTACACGAAAGGCACGGGGTTTGTAATATGTTTCCTAGGTAAGTTGCTCATGTTCATGCTTTCAAGCTTAACCATGCAGACGGGATTGATCTTCAGTTTAGATCTTTGAAAATGGAGCAAATTCCGATAAATAATTACATTTTACTGATTTTGGCAATAAGATTGTGATCGCAAAAGTTGCGAGCTCGTTCAGTAAATTTTTGTGCCACAGCACTTTTCTAGTGCTATTATGGTTTTGGAATTCAAGTGGGAATTTTTCACATTTTAAAGCTTTCCCTACTTGAAAATTCTGTGAGAAGCTTTATTTGAAAAATCTTTTTTTTGTAATATCTCTTAGTTCAGGTGAAAAATAAGGTTTTGCACATTGACGGGTCAGAAAAATCTAAATCCATCCTTGCCGGACCAATCTATTTAGTGGATGGATTTAGACATATCTGAATGATTGACATGTAATATACATTCCTAATTAGCATATGAAAGATCGTATTGAAATTGGCTGAGTATTAAAATGTCGTTGTTATTCTCTAATCATTTTTTTCTTATTTGCTTTGTTAGGTACTAAGTTTTGCATACTCTTCAAGGTTTGAATATTTCTTTTTGTTTTTAAGCCACAATAAGTGAATGATAGAATTAAACATTGTGATATATAGGAATGATGCTTACCCGCGTTCAGTTTTTTTGTATCACTTTATTGCTCAATGTTGCATTTTAGTAATGCTGTTTGTTTTTTCAGTAAACCAATTCTGTTAAATTCGTCGGTAACTGCATTACCATCCGCACAGGAACAGCCGTTGTTGCAGCGACAGTCCCTTGCCTGTATTGTTACCGAATTACCTGTTGTTAGTGGTGTTATTTCGTCTACTTCCTGTAGTGCGCCGACTCAATCAGAAGTTGAGGTCACCAGGTCTGTCTTTTACACTTTTGTACATTTCTTTAGTTCGATTTTTTCTTCGAATTGCCTTTGTGAATGCATGATTGATTCCCAGCTTAACTTAGTTCTATTAGTTTTATTAGTCTCTTCTATTAGTTTTATCAAAATTGAACTGGTTCGAATGCATATACGCTAATAGCATAAGTCTCAAAGAGTGAAAGTAAAGAATCGAACAAAAAAAAGTGCTAGTTTCTCAAATTCTATTCCTCTCAGTCAATTAAATCTCAGAAAAAAACTGTGAAAATCATAGGGATGTTCTGAAATCATAGGGATGTTCTGAAATTGCGAGATTAGGTAAATGAAGCTAGAGCTCTTGCAGTTAATCAATTTGGCAGATTTAGATTTTTTTTATTGTTTTTGTTTTCTAGGGTTATTAAAGGTTTTGAGATTCTCATACCAACAATTAATAATGTAATAAGCTGGTCGGTTTTGCTTGTAATACTGATTGGTTTAGTGTGGAAAGTGGTATAGTACAGAATCTAACAAGTAGTGATGGTACAGCAGTTCCTGGCACATCAGTCAGTGCAAATGTTTGTGAGGATTGTAACCGAATTTTATGTAGCGCATCGAATCTGAAACGGCATCGCGCGACTTGTAAAATGGCTTCCATGTTGAAGTAGGTTTTTTTACCAAATTCTTGAAACTTCTAATTAGATTTTCAGTACACTCATCAAGACTGCAGTCTTTTTGCCTTATTTAATGAAATCTGCTAATACTAGTTGTGTACGTATCACTTAATTTCTTTCACTTCATAATCCTATTCCAGTTGTTGGTTATGAGGAATATTTGACATTAGCCAGTAAGCGAGTGTGAAATGATCTTTATGTACTTGCTTGAAGCCTCAGAAAGTTGTCTTCGCCTTGAATTATATTATTCAACCATTGCCTACTGTCGCAGTTTATATTGTTTTTTTTATGTTGTTTTCTGAAACTTTAAAATGATATATAAGAAATTCTGTAATTTAATTTTTGTCGTTAGTAGCAATCCTTTCTTACAGATCCGGGAGTACTAAACTTCGGGATCAACATTCAGCCGCTGTTCTTGCGACTTCACTAAGCACTACAGTAGCGCAACAAAGCAACGATCAAGTTGACGAACGTGAACATGCAATCCTTGATCGTTCATGTGCTGCATCGCTTGTTGCACCGAAAGAGGCAATGCCACGAAGTGTTCTTGTAGCCGCAGGAACCGTCGACACTGCCACTTATTCCAACGCATCCACAAATGCAACACACCAACGGTCGGGCAGTGATGCATCGCTTACTTATATCACATATGATACTGTTAATGTAACGCCACTGCAGCAGCAACAACAGATAACAACTGCAGTGCAGCCAGTTTCTCAGTTAGAGTCGTTGAAACTCGGAGCTGCCAAAGCTAAACCATGGGTGATTTTTCTTTTTTGTAAAACTTTAGAAGGTTTACATTTGCATATTCTTTGCAAATATTTATATTTTTTGTTTTCTGAAAGATTTTTTTGCTTTGTTTTCAATATCTAAACTTATTATTTAAAAACATATTCTTTTTTTTTTTGAGAGTTTTCTTGTTGACACCTACTATATCATGCAATTTGCGTGTTTGAATCATACATCTTTTTGAAGATAACTGTTGGTGAACATTTGCGAGCACGACATAATCAACGTATCATCCAACAACGACAACAACAACGCGAATCAGTCACACCTTCTGTGCCGGAAACATTGGGTACTTATGGAAAAGCAGTGACAGTGCCGCTTCCTTATACTGATGACAATGTTTCAGCTCGATTACGGCAGCAAATTCCGGGCTCTGTGCTGATGTACAGTGATAATAGTGTCGGTAGTGGCGACCAATCTTCGAATCAGCTAGGCTTGAAGCATAAGTTAGTTGACAAACCAAATCATAGGATTCTTAGAATTTCAGGCTTTTTTTTTTCAACAAAAGAATATTCGGAAAAACCGAAAAGAGATGCGCACCGCTATTTAGGAATTATCATTTTTAGCACATATTTCGATTAATTTGAAATTGGATTGGAAAAATTAGATAAAAATTGATGAAAATGTTAAAAATAAGCTGAATCCTAGAATGCTGAAAATATAAAATTATATGTGATGATTAGTGAGGATTATTCCAATGGATTTATAAAGCGTACACTGCATTTAAATAACTGTTTTATAGAATGAAACGCGGGAGGGATCACGTATATCATATTTTTTGTTATAAGAGGAATTTACTTTCCCTTATATAACATGATTTACGTTCATAGTTACTTTGCGGGGATCATTTTTAGCACTCCAAAGCAGCTGTCTTATTATACAAGAGTGCATTATGATGGTGATAGTGGCATTATCACTTGTGGTACTTACGATCAACAACAAAGGCGAAATAGTTTTAAAATGGAAGAACCGTTACTAAGGTGAATTGAGAAATAACATTTTAAATATTTACCAGTTTTTGCAAAACAGACTTTAATTGTTGGGAAATATCCGGCTTCTTTTCAAGAGGGAGGAATCTCATAACTAAAATAAAAATTTCTTTTAGTGCGTTGATAATAAGTTACCGAAACGAGTAACATTGCAGTCCGCAAAATACATCTGCACGTGCCTCGGCACCACCAATTCTAACAACCACTACTCCAACCAATTATTCTGGTACGACACAAGCACAGTTACCAAAAAATGAGAAATGTGAAGCTCGGCCATTGGCAAGTATTATCACCACTGCACCACTCTCCACGTTTGTTATACAATTACTGTTTGATTTCGCTAACTAAACAGTTAGTTCGTTAAATTCGTGGATTTACATGATACACATCAGTTTACTAGTCAAATTATGCTGAAAAGAAACTTGCTTAGAAGCTGAAACAAAAGTTTAAACATAGTAAGTAAACTGGAATGCACAAAGACTGGGCGATGAATTTTTGTATCGAAAATTTTTTTTTCAAATTCAAGGTCATGCTCTGCAACTGATTCAAATCAGTCCCAAAACCAGCAGAGCACGAACTCTGCACTGTTCACTACACCTGTGGTATATGGCACCATGCAGCCACAACAACCACCGCCATCAACTTCATCGACAGTATTGTATCGGAACAATGAAAACATGTCGTCTGTTACTGATAATTATCGTTATGAATGTCCTGAATGCCAAAAAACGTAAGCGCTATCCGTAAACTCTGTATTTTGACGTAAGCTTTATATGTTGCATCACTTCATATAAAGTTATCATATACATTTTATACAAAGCTGCGTTGTTTAACACAATCCACTATGGCAAGCAGTTTAAAATCACGGTGACCGCAGTATGCATGAAGACAAAGCTCTTTATAATTCAGCGTGCATTATCGCTCGACCTTGTGTTCAAGATAAGGTGGGACAATAGAATTCTCATTTGCACTGCATGTTAGTTCTATAATGAGTAGCACAATTCTGTGTACGACTAGTAATGTCCTGAGAATCTGCGCAAGATTTTAATTAACATACTATGATGAGTCATATGAATTGTGACACGTAAACCATTTGGATGTTGAATTTTTTCTTATAGTCTCAGTAGTATTAAGCATAAGATTGGTTATATAGTTGAAAACGAGCAGTGTGCATCTCAGTGAATGCTTCTTTTTCGAATGAACTGTTTTTTTATGGCTCGAATTTTGAAGATGCGATTAGTCAATCGATTGATCGATCGGACAGTTGCTCAGTTGAGCGTGCCAGACGGGTTGTTGCTCAATCTGTGTAAAATTTTTGCTGCAAATCTTCGCACTTCATCTTCTGTGGTTGTGGTGTACCGTAGCTTTACATCTCTCCTCTACATTCCAAGTTTCAATTTCTAAATTCCGCTTTATTCTTGGAACCTTTTACTGTGCCATTAAACTTTATATTTAGTTTGGAAAAGTTATATAGACGTATTGTAAGCTTATCATCTGGTTGAAGACTGATTTCAGGCGTTAGAAA